GCAGTTTGCCGCCGCCACGGCCCGCGGCCAGACCGCCACCGAGGCCCAGGCCGCCGCCGTCGACGACATCGTCATGGCCCTGGAGGAGCTCAACCCCAACCCGCAGCCCGTCGAGACAGACCTGATTGACGGCGCATGGACCCTCGTCTACTCCTCGGCACAGCTGTTCAAGTCGAGCCCGTTCTTGCTGGCGGCCGCTACCCCGTTGCTCGACCTCGGCCAGATTCGACAGACCATCGCCGTGGATGATGGCAAGTTGGTTAATGAGGCGGAGGTCGTTGCGTTTCCGGCAACCTCGGGTACCCTCAAGACTACCGCCAGGGTCACCCCCGTGGGTGGCGAGCGCTTAGAACTTACGGTTGAGAAGACTACGGTTACGGGCGGCAAGCTGTTTGACAGATTGGACCTTGGTGGCATTTCGTTTGATGTCCCGATTGAGCAGATTTTGTCAAGGCTCAAGAATATGTCCCCAGAGACTTATCTTGATACGTACTACCTGGATGACAAGCTTCGCATTTCGAGGTCCAAGCAAGGCAAGCTATATATTTACACGCGTCTAGACTAGCAGCACTTACATTCGCGCAGTGTGGGAGACCTTGTCAAAACCAACGACCCTTTCTCACTACAATTAGATCGAGTCGCAGGTGTGCCGCATTTTTGTCTATAAAACTAGAAATCCTCCGTGCTGTGTGCCAGATGTCGCCCTACGCTGTTAGGGCGGCGGCGGTGGCGGCACCGGCATCAGCTGGGGAGGAAACATGGCCCATTTGGGAAAGAAGGGTGAAAAAAGTTTTCCATAGAGCTTCCTTCACCTGTGTGCCTTTCATCGCAAAAACAAGCTGATGAAGACGCAAAAGCCCACGTGCAGAGACCGACAAGATATCGCCTCATCGTGCATGAGGCCGCCTACACGATACAACAGATACTGCTGTCGACTGCCGACTGCACACGATTTCTACGGTTCCTTGAGCTCTACTAGCGCGGATAATTGAAAAAGTATCTGCGCTAGTACAAGCACTGTTCTTTTCATCATGGATGGCGCTTTCTGTCTTGAGCTCCGGCGCGCACGACTCTTCCCCTGTCGTCGCTTGTTCCATCCCTTGCATCGTCTCTTTCTGATTGTGCCGGGGGCTGATCAGATGAACTGCCATTGTTGCATCGTTTTCCTTGCCTCTGCATGCCGTACACGTTTAGCGTGTAGTTTTCCTCGCAGATGCGATTCAAGATTGTCCACGCTAGTACAACTTACATTGCATATGGGGCAATGTAGGCTCCTCGTAGCACTAGGTCCTGTTTTCTCGCCTGCCGCCTCGTTCAACGTGGACGGTCGCTGTTTTGCAGACCCCGTTCCAAGCACCTTGCCGAAGAATTCTTTCTGCTTCTCCGCCCGTTCCCTCCCTTGCACCGTTTGTTTCTGAATGTGTTCGGGGCTGGTCAGATGTGTACTGAGAGCGTCTATAGAATCAAAATATTCGTCACAGAGTACACAGGATACGAAAGCTCTCATGTTTGGAATCGGAGGAGTCTGCATTTTGTCGTCCGCGCTTGGGGCAGTATCTTTGGGTTCCTGGTCTTGTCGCTTTCCCATGATGGCGTTTCGTTGTTTGGGTTTTGCAAGTATGGCAGTAGGATGAAAAGTGGGACTGGCATACTTTGTCGGACTCAAAACCATGTCATTCTGGCGGGTCTGTTTTCCGCTGGATTTGATGCTCATGCGCGATACCGCTTGTTGCACCTTTGGCATAAATACAGCACATTTGGATGCTTCGCTCATACTAAATCCGGAGCTCTCCGATGACTTAGCTGGGGAAGGGCACTTGTCCTTGCCGTCGTTATCTTTCCTTGGGGGCGTAGGCGTTGTTCGTTGAACTTTAGATACTCTGTTGTTCGAGGTTTCTTGAGCGGCTCGCAGTATCGTGAGTGGCACACCTCGCCTCTCACTCAAACTATCCCTTGTACTACTGGATGACGCTTGCTTTGCGGCAGGGGCAGTTACGGTTGGAGACGTCCTATCCGGGGTCCTGGTGGCAATTGTAGAATTTGATGCCTTCTTGGAAGCCAGAATCGTCTTTGTGACAGGACTGTTATTCGAAAGCGATGATACTACACTGCGTTTCTTCAATGGCTGCATCTCTTGAACTGGAGGCTGCTTATTCTTTTTGTGCTTGCCGGTAATCAAGTGCTGTAATACCGTGGCCTTTCCACTCAGCTCTGCGTCGCAGTAGGAACAGTGCCAAGAGATGGGAGTGAGTTCCTTGATACCGTGTTCCTCGAAGGTCTTCTTCGCCTCGACAAACGCAAGGTGTATCTCCACCTTTCTGCGGTGCTTTGCGCCACCCCAGTGGTCATCGAGCTGCTCATCCGAGCCACACTGGACGGAGCAAAGCGAGCAGTAGAGGGAGGGGTTTGTGACGGGGGCCTTGCCGTCCGCCAACGAAGCGGGCGAGGTTGCTTCGAGCGGAGAAAAAGCTTGCACGACTTCAGGCGGGATGGGCATCCATGAGTCCAGGGAGGGCGGGTCCTTGAGGCCTTTCGCGGCGGCGGCGTCGTCGGACGGCTTCCGCAGGGCCTTCAACGGGTTGGGAAAGCGGGTCTGGGCGGGCGTGAGGGCATGCGTCGAGGCGTGCAGGTTGGGGTGTGCCTTGGCCATGTGGGCGCGCAGGAGGAGGTTTGTGGGGAACGGGTGCGAACACAGCGGGCAGGTGGTGGCGTCGGAGGGACCCGGCGAGGCGAAATAAGTAGCCGCCGGCACGAGGGGCGGGCGGATGGAGTGGGCGGCACCCGACCACGCCGACGCGTAGCGGTTGACCAGGCGCGCGAAGCCGGTGTTCACAGACTCGATTAGGTGCGACGGTGGCGCTGCGCTCCCCTCGGGCGCTTCCATGGCGCGGAGGGGCGGCGTGGTGGCGAGGGGGCGCTGTGGAGGGGCGGAGCGTGGGTGGCGAGGACGGCAAGAACAAGTGGCGTGAGGTGGAGAAAGTTTCCGTTTCCTGCCAGCCTGCGTTGGTGCCGAAACAACCAAACAAAAAACAAAAAAAGGGCCTCCAAGCTGAAGGCCTGACGTGGCCGTTGCGCCGGGGTGAGAAGTGTGGCGACGGAGGCGGAAGGTTGACGGGATTCAGGAAATTTTTCAGCGGCTGGATATTTGGACGTTCATTTGATGTGAGGGAAAAAAAGAGAACGGTCCTTTTTGTCACGTCCGGCGTTGGGCGGGCCCTTCCTCACGACGTGAAGTGGAAGTTTGGGAAGGAGTGCTGGTCGCCCTGCCGGGCGATGCGTGTGCACGCCGGGTCCAACGGCCGAGTGTCAGCGTGTCAACACGCTGATCATGTGTGATGTGAAACAAAGTGCCTTGCAAAGCCGTTTTGCCAATTTTCGATGTTTCTGATCTGAAGCCTCTTTTGAGGCCCTCCTTTTTTAGAAACGAAAATGAAAAACTGTAAGAAGAGCTCAAAGCAAAAATAAGCCCAATAAAATTAAAATGCTCAGCAGAACAGAGAAAGAAACTGGTCAGGCGCGTGCAATATTTCAGGAATATTTCAGGTACCCTTGATTCTGTAGAGACTGCCTGAAATATTGGTATCTGTAGTACAGATACCTTCTGCGCATATGCAGCGAAACTGCATCTTCTCTTCAAGTCTCTTCCCTCCGACCCTTGGCGATACAACCACCACAGTGTAGTTGTCCATTTCCTCCATGTCAACGGGTCTCCATGACATGGATTAGGGGATAAGGGGATTTAGGGGATTAATGGGAGCCACGCTCCATGGACGCCCCCATCGAAAACAGAAAACAAACACTCGACAAATGCGTACGTAGAGTCAATAATCATATATTGTGTGTTGTTCCAGAGTTCAGCGGGGTACAAGCCGCACCGAGGGCGCGGTGATCCCCGATGGAGTCGTGCGCACCCAAAACGGTTTGGCGAACGGCACGGGCACTTTATTAAGAGCGTTGAACTGGTCAAGCCTTGCGCGACTGCACCCCCAATCACAGAGCCAATCTTCGACGAGGCGCTTGCACAAATTGGAGAACTCGACGGGCGGCAGCATCCCGTTGTCCATGAGAGTGTCAAGAACCTGCTGTGCGGACATGCGTTGTCCACTGGAGTCGCCAGAGGTGTGCGTGTTCGGGGCCATAAACAGGTTTGAGTGGACGGCTAACACGAAAAGGAGGACTTTCTTTCGATGCTCCTGCCGATACTCAAAGTTGCCGTACTGCATGTACGAGGAGAGGTTGCCCCAATGCTTGAGCCCTACCTCCTCGATGATGAGGTTGCACACGATGCCCTCCATTCCGGACAGGGCGTTGCAAACGGTACGGTCCTGCTTGAGCAGGGAGACGAGGAAGGGGTCGTAGCGCTGCAGCAGGGCGGAGATGGCGACGATGTCCGCCACTAAAGACAGCGCATTGAGAACGCGATCCTTGTCGTCTAGATGCAACAGGGCGGGGTTATCCAGGACGCGCGTGCCCTGCGCGCAGATACCCGCCCACGACCATGCGTTAAGGCGATGGTCGCGGTCGCGCAAAATGACAAAGTTGCGCGCATGGCCAAGACGGAAGCCGTGGCATTGCGACACGCGTGTCTGCGTCGCGGCGGCGCCTGCGTCTGCGCCTTCCCGATTGAAGGTGGTGAAGGGGTCCGCCGCGGGCGACCACGAGCCGGACGTGGGGAGGATGCGGATATACATAGAGACGGGGCAGTCCGGGCGGCACAGCGCGACGGACGCCGCGTGCGGCGCCGCGGGGGTGGTCCAGCGGCACTGCGAGCCGAAGACGACGTAGCGGAAGTCGCGGCTGCGCACGGCGAGCGAGCGACGCGCGCGCATGCGGCGCGCGTGGTACCAGTGCAGGAAGAGGTGCTGCGGCGGCAGCGACACCAGGGCCGGGATGAGGC